AAATGGCAGAGCTGAGCGGTGGGGGACGCCGTGGGGGATGTGGTGGGGGACACGGCGGTGGGGAACAGAGGCTGTGGGCACAGGCTGCGTGATGAGCTTCCCTGCGCTAGGGGGTTAGGAGAGCAGGAGGCCCCGCTCGAGGGCCAAGGCAGAGGCTGAGAGCACTGTGCTGGGGCTGGGCCGAAGGACTGAGTTATGGGAGCAGATCTGCCCAGCCACAAAGACAACTAGCAGAACCCAGAGGACGGAGGGGGCTGAGAGTCGGTGCACCAGAAGGATGTCCCTGCCGGGGTGGTGAGTGCAGTATCGTCAGGTCACCAGTGTCTTGTGTTCCTGAATTTATCTGTCAGTGTCTCGTGACTTCTGCACTTTTGGGGCTAAATCCGTCTGTGTGGTGGGGGCTGGCTGTTTTGTCATCATAAGATGCTCAGCAGTCCCCCTGGGCTCTCCCCACTAGATGCTGGTAGCACCCACCCAGCTGTATCAACCACAGATGCCTCCAGGCATTACTGAAAGGCCCCGGGGGCGGGGGGCTTGCAGAGCCGCTCCTGGTTGTGAGCCCGTTACCGAGGGGCAGGAACTGTGCCCGTCCCCACTGACCCGCAGACGAAGGGGTCCTTGGTCGTTCAGTCAGTACTGCGGTGGACGTGAGATGTGGGAGGCCCTGCAGGAGGATGGTGGCCTGGCCCTGCAGGAGTGACGGCGCACTTCTGTGCGCTGCCCCAAACCACAGCAGAGCCATTCTCCTCGCTCGGAAGACTGGCGGGGACAAGAGGAAAGTCTGAGGATGCATTTGTCACCAGCCTCCTCTCTGAAGAGCGGGGCTTGTGTGGATTTTTCCATTCTGTCCCAGCGTCACATGTCTGATCGGGGCCTGAGGAGAGGGTGTCAGGGAGTCAGAGAACGCCCAGGGCAGGGGTACCAGCGTAGGCGAGCGTGGGTGAGGCGGTGTGGGCTCGGTGTGTCCCGGGGAGCCCCCGGCTGTAGAGAGGAGAGAGGAGGCCTGCTTTCCTGGACAGGTCGAGCCAGGGCTGTGGACCCTGGACCCTGCGAAGTCCTCAGCCACCCCGTCGTTCCCCCCTGGGGCGAGGGTACAGCGTTCGGGAGCTGGGCCATCCTCCCTCCCCTCCTGCCGGGGGCTTCGCGTGTCCGGTTATGGGATTATCACTCACTGTTTCAGGGCTTCAACCCCATGTAGATGGCACAGAGGCCCCAAACGGCACCGAACCTGCCTCACTCCTGTCGCCTCACAGCAGAGAAGCACAAGGAGATGGTCACTCGGTGTTTCTCCTCGTTCTCTACCCTCCCTCACCCCACCCCTGGTCTAGTCTGCAGGAACCCTGGTGGCACAGTGGCTAAGCACTTGTTTGTTAAGCGAATGGGCAGCCTTTCCCACCCCCCAGGCACTCTTCTGATGTGACCGTCTGCTTCTGTAAAGGCTTAGACCCTTGGAAGGCCTGTGGCAGTTGCTCTGTGTGAGTCGGAATCCACCGACAGCAGTGTGTTGGGCTTGGGTCGGGTCCAGCCTGCCACCCCCGAGCAGCACCTGTCGTCACATGCTGTGGCTCACGGCCCGCTGGCCCAGCCTCCTCTGTCCTGCCAGCTCCGGCCTGGCCACCTGCTGCTCGCTAAGCCAGTGGGCCAGCCTGCTTCTGACTGGGCCCCTCCGTTACACACAGCAGTGTCTGCCATGGAGGAGACCCCCCAAACCCTAGGGCTCCCTCCTGCTCCCACTGGTCGTACTGACTCCCTGGGCAGAGGCTGGCTGGGGAAGGGCCCTCAGGAGTGGCTGCCCCCCTCTCCTGTGTGGTCACTTCCTCTTTTTCTGCTGACGGCTTTAAGGGGTGACTTGCTGATGGTACCTGCAGATGCCCAGATCCAGATGAAGCCCCGCCTGATAAGAATCATCATCAGTGATTTCCTCGCACTCCCTGAAAGTGCTGCACACACTGAGTCATGTGTTAAGACAGAAAGGAAGCAACTCTTCTGGCAAACCAGTTAAAAGCCAGTTGTTTCTTGTTTCACTGGAGCCTGGGAGTGGCTGGGGGGGGGGGGGGGGGGAGGGCCTGACAATGCCCCCGAGTTCCTGCAGACAGACGTCTGATGGGGACGTTAGCAGTGGAGGAAGATGCATGATTTCCCTCCAGACCCCAGGAGCCTGTCCTCCCCCTCAAATCTTTCCCAGGCCTGCGCCTTGATGTGGGAGTGGGGGGATGGGGAGTGGACGCCTGATACCAGCAGGCGCCTCTCTGGACATACTCTGTCCATGACCAGATGGCCTTGTTATCTGGTGGACACGACAGTTCAGGCGCACATGGAGGTTCTGGAAGCCAGCAGCTCCACAGCCCTCCTCACAGCCAGATGCACTGAGA